GCTGGCCATGCCGGCCACCAGGCCTGGGCGTCCGGGCGCCACCAGGCTCCGGTGCTGCGCTGCGGTGGGGCGCCCGTGGCCGGGGCTCAGCAGCTCGCCCGCCTGCGCGTGGGCCACGCCGTGCAGCCCCCCGAGGCTCTCCAGACTCAGCTCCATGCTTGGCGCCTGCCTGGCGCTCTCAAGGCCTCCGCATGGCCCCCGCCTGCTCCCCGGTGGCTGCGCGCAAGAGGCTCAAGGCTGCGCGGCGCAACGCCCGGCCCGGCTGCGAGCGAGTGAGCGACCGCGGCCACCAGAATGTGGCGGGGAGCGGCCGCGGCGCCCGGGCCGGGGTCTGACGTCAGCGCCCCCGCCCACCCGCGCCCGCGCCGCTCCCCGCCCGCCCGGCCCCCGCGAGCGCCAGGCAGGCGGGAGAGGCCAGGCACAGAGCTTCTGGGGTCCCGGTGCCATGCCTGCCCGGGGAGCGGCGCTCCTCCCAGGACAGTGGTGGGCGAGGATCGGGGACGGCCTCCTCATAGGGAGCTTCATCTGTGCTCCTCGGGGCTCTGGGATTCTCGTCAGAGTCCGGAATTCACCTCCAGGGAGCTCCTGGCTATGTAGTTGCAGGCTGAAGGGTGATCCACAGGTCACCCCTATTGCATAAATTCCCGGGGTAGGCTTCTTGTAAGCCCAGACATCCTTATCCACACGCCGGGCGTCACAGCCCCTCTCACGCGACCTCTTAGGGAACCAAGTGGGGAGAACGGCCATCAGGCCGAGTTGCAGTTGGCACTCATCCCAGATGACAAGGTCCACCCCAAGCGAAGGTAGCTGAGCCTCAGTTTCCCCAAGTACTCACTGGAATGCCCATCGTGTGTGAGAGGGGTGATGTGCAAAAAGACTGCTCCGGACCAAAAAAAAGAAAGAAAAAAGACTCGACCGGATTCCAGGGTTCCAGTATGCCCAGAGCCAAGGATTAAGGGCATCTGTCACCTTACAGTCCCAGGGACAATGAGGACCTCTCCTCTTTGAAAAGCCCTGCTGTAAACTCCTGCCTGGGGGGGCCGAGGTGCGACTCATCTTCACCACCTGGTGACAGGTGCAGCCCAGGGCCCCCTGGGAAGTGGGGTAAATGGAATCCCTCCTATAATCAGAAGTGACCTCTGGACCACTTCCAGTGGGTAAGATGCAGGTTAGCGAGAAGGGACCACTTCATCTCTGAGCCAGAGACCAGGGCCAGGGAGAACTCAAATCAGCCCCAACCTCTCCTCTCCTCTGGGACACCAGGCTGCGGGTAACCAGGACATGCCTCTGGAATCCCCTTACATCCACCGAAGGGCTCTGCCTGGAAGTCACTCTGTACCACAGGTGACCTTTGGGGCCACCCCTCCCCCCACACCCTACCCTACCCCATGGTTCCAATGTGACCATGCAAGGGCTCCTTGATGTTCTTCCTTGTGCCTAGCTTGATCCTGTACCAGTGCCCTTTCTATGACTCAGTTTCCCCACCTATAA